CTCCTGTCCCAGGACCGGGCCGGGCCCTCTGAGGGCCGAAGGAGCGCTGTGGGCCGAGTGTGGGGGGATCGGGGCAGTTTGGGAAGCAAAGTCCTGCCAGTACTTACTGCCTGCCCATACCGTGCCGCCTTCAGTTCTCTCGGGTGCCTTTTCAAGAGGGTTTGAGGGATTTGGAAGGGGGGGTGCGTAACTCTTTCAGCGTTTGTTTCTTTCATTGGACCAGGCGCTTTTAAACTTCGTGATTCGTGAAGGCGGCCGGTGTCGAGGAGAAGTTAACGTGCCTCCTTGGTTTTTCACTCGCGTGCGTGAGCGGTTTGGCGGCTGGGGAGGAATGGGGTTTTGGAGCAGGCAATCGCGTTTCTCCTGCAATTTTCTAGTCCCCAGCCGGTTCATTGAAATGCCAGCCCTTCCCGGCGTGGTGGCATCTGCTTTTGTGTAGCTTCGGGCGAAAAAAGTAGGGTTTATGGAAGTGTTTGGTTAAACTTTATGAAAATGTTTGCGTAGGGAGCAGTGGAGATACTGTTTACTGTTTCTTGTTCTGTTTCTGTGTATGTTCTTTGCAGTCCCTGCTTTTCAACAACTTTTTTTGTGATTTACAAGCTGAAGCAATATTTAAGATTTGTTGAAAACAAAAGTGAAGCTGCTTGTCTATAAAAGAGTAAAGAAATGCAAGTGTAAATGATTAAAAGTAACTTGTGGGTCTGGAAACAAGTCTCTCTCCATGAGACTATCCTGTTTGCAAGTGGCTCAGCTTGTGGTGTGGGTTCAGGAAAGCCAGTGCTAGCAGCAGAATGAGGGCAGGAATGAGACGTCTGAGAAAAAACTGGGCTTTCCTTTATAGCTGCCTGGGTTTTACGTAAGAGTAAAGTGATATATTGGTGTACGTATGGTCGTACGCTTCCTTGGGCTCTCATTCTCCTAGCATTTGCATGCTTAACAATTGTGTCATTTTCAGATCTTATTAATTATTTTTGTCAGTCTTTTATTTCGCGTGTTAGTTTTTCTGTAGTTTCCTACTTTACTCTGATTTTTTTTTTTTTCAATGTGCCCACCAACACAGGATATCATGCTTGCGTCTGAGACTTAAAACAAGTCTGTAGTTACCTTGAGCAGCTTCAGCTTTTTTTGTCTTATTGCTGGTGTTTTCTAGTATAGGAGAAATATTTCCTGCCCAAGCAGGGAGTTGATTTTTCCAAAGACAGCCTCTAAAGTCTGGCTTTTCGTAGCAACTGAAGATGCTTTTTGGTGAAGACTTAGTCCCAACTTGGGCTCTGTGAGTGATCATCACTAACCTGCAATTGTTAGTAGGTATGGGTTGTTGGTTGCTTTAAGCTTCCTGGTCTCTGCCTTCAGCTGGTGGCTCATATTTATACTCTCCCTTGCACAAGCATTGAGGTCTGTACGGTTGTCTGGGGAGCCCTTTCTAGGAAGTAATGCAGCTGAAGTGATGTTTGTTTATTTGTTTTTACTAGGCAGGTTTTCAGATAGGCTGCTTCCTTTGTGAAAGTCACTGCAGCCACGTGGGTGCTTGTGCCACCTGAAGGGACAGGGTAGGAGGTGGAAGGTGACAGGGAGGACTGGGGTGTCCCCCTTCAGTGGCAGCACAGACTTGTGTGGGATTTGAATAGCTTAGCTGTGGTAGCTTTACAGTGCAGTGAACACAGCAAGTGTTTCTCTTCAGCCCTAACTTAGCCAAAGCTTTTCTGGGAAGACAAACCCTTGAGTTCACACTTCCCAAACAGTTTTTTGTGTACACTTTTCCAAATAATTTCTGTCATCTTTTGTCAGGTCGTACTAGCTGCATTCTGTTCTTCCACATAATACTGTTTTTGAAAGTTCATGTCCCTGCTGCTGAGCATGTGGCTTCTGCCTTTTTGCTATTTCCTATCCTTCCTTGGGAGAGACGTGCCTCACGTTTGGGAAACACTATGCTGTGAAGGAGACAGAAATGTGTGGCCAAGGTAGAGAAAAGAAGGGAAAAGGGAGTAAAGTGATTAATTATGTATTGACACTGAGTTTTTTGGCTGCACGTATTATCTGCCTGCCTTCAGCGAGGTTTGAGTGTATGTGAATGGCAGGCAGATCAGTTTTAGCATTCAGTTCTTGTTAGTCAGGGTGGTTTTGCGTTTCAGATTCAGGTGGTGAAACAGAATCATAGATTTGGATTAATCAAATGTTGCATGGTTAAAACTGTGAGTTACTCTTCTGTGTTTTTTACAGTTGTGGCTTCAGTTAGCCTCTCTCAGCATGACGTGTGAATTTTATTTTACCTGTAGCTGCAAGAGCTGAATTTTTTACTCCAGTTGATAAATAAGATTTGAGGATTTGTCTTCTTGGAGAAACTGTTATAGAAAAAGGTTATTTGTGGGTTTACAAGTACAGCTTAATAGCTGCTCACAAGTGCTTACTCTGGAATAAGCTGTCGGCAGCTAGCAGTGATTGTTCGGGTTGCTTTACCAAACTCTTGTTTTTTATGTCATCTCTGATGTGATCTGTTCTGATGATCTAGGTGACGCTCAGTTTAGAGGGCTGTCAGGTACATGTGTCGTGTTTGTATCTGCTGGAGAAATGTGGATGGCAAGGGTGCTTGGGGGGAGTTGGAGAACGATGTGTCTCCACCAGCAACACTTACCGAGCATACGACTATTGACATGGGGTTCTCTTTCTCCCAGCGGGGGCTGTGGGTCTTCAGCTAACTGACATCTGAGTGTGTGTGTGTGTGTGTCCTACCTGTTGTCTTCCACTCACACCAGTAGATTTGCTTTATCCCCTTTCCCCCAAAGCGGGGAACTTGCAAAGGTGAACCATTTGTTCTTTTGCTGACAGTCAGCATCATAGCTGGCTGTCCAAGCCTTTCATTCACCAAATCCCCCTTTCCTTCCTTAAGTCAAAAGCTCCCTGTGTGAACGAACACCCATTTCAGCAGTAAGGTTCAGAGACAGCATCTTGAATAGTTATCTGTCACCTTGATAACGATGCTGGCAGGATAGCCACAAGGTGAAGTTTAGTTGTGATGTTTTGAAGCAGTGTTCTTCTCATCAAAAGGATACAGAGTTTGGACAATATAAAGCAGATTCTTTTATAGGTTTGTCTTTACTAGGAATGGGTGGTTTACATTTTTGTTTTACAAGCTTATCCAGCTGTTTCTGGGTAATGCTCTAAGATCCCTCTAATTAAAAGCAGTCACAATTTAAATGGCAAATATATCTGCAACCTGTAACAATTAAGTACAGTTTTCTCTAAGAGCAGAAGGCTTATCTTTTTCATCACATTCGTAAACATTCAGATTATGTAATCAAAACTGCTTTAATATTTAGGTAAAATAAAGGCTTGTATAGTGTTGGTTTTACACAGTTTGTGATTGTATGCCCTTTTTTGGCTTTAATAATGGAGCAGGTAACAGTGCATCTTCTTTATTAAAAGAAATGGAAAGATATGCAAATTCCATTGGGCCAAGTTAGATTTACCATAACTGAAGTGTCACGTCGTGATGTCCTCATCCACGTTGCTTTGTTCCAACTTAAGACCGCATTGCAATTACAGTAGGGACAGCACATGGATAAGTCCTGTTCATTACAGTCTTTTATGTTCAAATCTGGTCATAAATTTGAGAGCGCACTAGGACAGTAGTGAAAAGCTGTAGTTTGTCTTACTGTAGGTGAATTTAAATTTCTCTCACAATGTAATCAGCTCTATGTGTATTTTAGGATTGCTATAAATCTCTCTAATCAGAAATTTTGTATCTCCTGGTAGCTTGTCTCTTTCAAATATTAAAAAGTTGATCCTGTTCTCTTACCTTGCTAGATTATTTCTTTTCTTAAATCTGATTAATCTTCTTCTTAAGCTGAGCAGGAAGAATAAGAGGAAGATCTTGAAGATAATATAAAATCCAGGAGAGAATATTCTTAATCAAATTCATACAAATTAATAAAGCTGCAACTAAAATATCATATTTGAAGATCTATTTTCAATGGTTTCAAAAGAGGCTGTAGATTAGAAGTGAACAGTTTAGTTATATCACAAGAGATATCACTCCCAGATACTTAAACCTTTTACAAGGCTGTTACATTAAAAATCTGATAGGTTTATGGGGATGTAATGGTAAAGTTGCTGACGTAGCGGTATGCAGATGAAAACTGCATGCTGAAAGAGATCATATTTATTTTGCTTTACTGTCAAGCCTGCAAATAAGATCTGCGGCAGGGGCAATTTTATTTTCCATATCACATAGTTGTAAGCCTTTGATATCTTCTGAGTCACAGTTAGCTCTGGCAAGAGGTTTGATGAAAGATCAAGTAGAACACAAGGTAAGCTTATCGTCCCATTATCTGATGTAAACCAGAGTGAATATTCTTCTTTTAAAATGGTAGGTCTTGGTTGCCCGGTGTTACTTTGTTTGAACTGCAAGCTATAGTACAGTGTTTGCACCGGACAATTAGCTTCTGCTAAAACCATGTGATTTTGTGCTTGTGTGCTAGAAAGTTCAGTAAAGGAAGCAAACAGGGGTCAAGATTTCATCTGTGCAGATTTGAGTAGTTTGGATGACTAGTGTAAGAAAGATGTGACTTAGCAGAAATTTCACCTGTTTTAAAGAAGTGAAATAGAGCAACTTAGTGGTCAGTTATTTAAAAATGACTTCACAAAAGTCTTCCTGAAAGAATTTCAATTACCTATAGCTGTGAAAAATGTAAACACCAAATAAAGACTTACTTTGCTTCAGAGGATTTGATTTTTGCCTTTTAAGACTGGGGCAAGTTCAGCTAGTTCTGGTGCTGCTCTAAGTAGGAAAATTGTAAGAAAGTCGATGGTATGATCTGTAAGGTTTTGGGGTTTTTTCCTTTTGAATCTGATGGTTTGAGCTTTGTATTAGAGATGTGGGAAACTCATTTAATAAGCAGCAGGCAGCAAGTCTGCAAATAGAAGTGCTTGATGTTCGCCAGCTACCGGTAAGTTTCACATGAATGAGAGAACTAGCAGTGTCGCATTTTTCCCTCCTGTCCCATGCAATCCTGTCATCCTAGCCTTTACATAATTACATGACAGTTTTTTAATTTCACTTTATGCTAGGCTATTCAAGAGTACACCTCATTCCAACTTTGTGATGTGTTATAACCCTTTCCAGTCATAATTTCTCTGAAAATCATTTGACTTTTTCTTGGTCGGCTCGCGTCTCTTCCATCACCGATGCTATTGGTGTTTAATTCGGTGGTTTACGTGTTTGGCTGGTGGTATTGCTCTGAAAGGGAGGATGCCGAGTTGCTCAGGATTGCTGTGAGGGTGTGACTAATTGCCTTTTGACTAAACTAGAGAAAACACATGCCCTCAACAACAAAACCTCAAACAAAACAAACAAAAAACCCCAAACACATAGAGAGGAAATTAAATTAAACATGGTTGTAAAAGAGCTGCTCTTTGAAACGCTCACCAGTGTTTCCAAACTGCTTGCTTTGACAGCCTGAGAGAAGGGCATGAGGTTTTCGTGTAGGTGTTACAGTGCCAGCCCCGATCTCTGCTCTGGGGCCGATGAGAGAGGTGGTTCTCTTCACCTGGATAGTTACTCGTCATTGGCATGACAGCATATGCAAAAAACCATGGGATTATTTATTACTTCCAAATCAGCTGAGTTTTGTTTTCTTTGCACTGCTGGGTTTACCTTGCCTAGCCTGTTGTAAGCGTTCAAGAATGTCGGTGCAGTACAGGAACATAGGTGGCTATGGGTGGTTTGGGGTGGTGGCAAGTTTGCATCGAGTTTACCATTGGCACAGTGCCCGAGTTTCATGTTCATTAGGCAGCAGCCTGGCAGTGGAAAAGACACTGGCACGGAGGAGGTGAAGTCGAAAGTTTACTTGGTTTTGGAGGTGGAAGGCAAGGACTGGATTTTATTTAGTGTTTCAAATATATCCGCAGCCAAACTCAGAGGCAGGAGTTGAAGAGCTCAGGGGTTTGAGCACCTCAGTGCATTTGATACTCATGAGGAAAAGTGAGACATACGTACCCAAAGTGGAAATTTGGCTGGTGGGATCTGAAAGGATCTCATTGTGTAGAGCAGTCTGGGAAAAGTCCTCTTTCTAGTTAACTCACACTGCCCTTTGCTCACCAGGATGCACTGATGCACTTTGGGAAGCTGTTGTGTCCCCAGCTGGGCTCCAGAGTGTCATCAGCCCCAGGTGAAGCACTGTCACTGCCCTGCCTCCCCCAGCTGTACCTGTGACTTAAATACCGATTGCAGCAACAAAAGGCAGCCGTGCCAGTTTGTTTGGACGTGCCATTCTGGGAGCTACATGTTTAAAGTAGAAAGATACTGATGCTTCTATGTTATCATGTTAAAGTTATAGCATCATATTATCAACTTTGAAGTCCCTTTACTGAATTTTGAGGCAGTCAGTGTGGTCTTAGCAGTAGAATGAACTGTGTTCTTGAATAATATGAGGTATGGAAGCTTCTTGTTTATAATACATGCTGATCAACAGAAATGAACCAACAGTGCTGTAACACATTGTAGTATCTTCTGGTTGTGCTAGTTCATAATGATTTTTTTTTTTTTTTAAAAAAAAGTGCTATTTTCATAGTGTAAGCATGCACCTTCAGGTAATTATGTGGGTAGCTTTTTGCTATCTTTTTTCCTACTGCTCTTGGAAAAAAACTATTTTTATGAGTCTGTCCATTAATACGCATTGGTTTTTCTGCTACTTCTCTAATCAAGTACTGAAATATTTGTTTCGACTGTGTTCGCAGGCTAAAGAGTGCAATGGCGTCAAGGCCCCAATTGATACAAGCAAACCTAACCCTAACGAAGTGGAGTTTGATAACCTGTATTTGGATATGAACGGTATAATTCACCCTTGTACACATCCAGAAGACAAGTAAGGCAATTTTTTGTCACTTTGCCAATGGGGTTTATTGATAGTGTTTCAGATGTTAAATGGAACGCTCTACATTTTAGGCCAGCGCCCAAAAATGAAGATGAAATGATGGTTGCGATTTTTGAGTATATTGACAGGATCTTCAATATTGTAAGACCGAGGCGACTTCTTTACATGGCTATAGACGGAGTAGTAAGTATTGGTATATTTGGTTCCCAGTAATGGCTGTTTGTAAAATTAGGGTAGATGACATCTGCTCTGGTAACATCCTTTGGGAAATAGTTTTCTAACATGAAAAACTGCAGGTAAAATATACTGGTAATTTAATATTGGTGAGGGTAATTAAAAGTATTCATGGGTTTTGTTGTCCACGGGGTTGTGCAAGCTGGCTAATGTAGTCTACTGCAGTCTGAGCTTTGCTTCTGAAAAGCAGGAAACTTCTGTAAGACAGTGAAACTACTTATGTTCCTCCATTCTGTGGCTTCAGTCATAATTTATGCTTCAGGCCGAGGAAGACCAGAAAACTGTTTAAGCGGTTGCACTTAAAATGGGCAGTGACTTAGTTGTGCTGCAGAATATTTCTCAGGCTGCCCTTAAGGGACATTTATAAAGCTGAAAGCTTGTCTTTGTCCTGATCCTCATCTCCCTATGGTGCATCAGTTGCTCTAATGAAAGATGCCACCATTTCTTATTGACTTTGCTTTACTGAGTATTTTTCTATCCAGATTGCATGGTCTCACTGAGAGATGCCAAAATGGCGTGGCAGAGACTGCTGGCAGGTCTCTTAAGCTTGCCTGGTTTTCTAGGCTTTTCAGTTTCTCAAAGTAAAAGGAGTATCATTAAGTAAAAAGACTTTTAACCTAAATTCAAGTGTAGAAATTCCTAACGCATCTGTGTCTATAAAAGTGATTTCAACTAAACATTGGTGTAGCCTTTTAAAAACCCCAACATACCTGACATAAGTGATAGCTAACTACTCTCTGCCAGAGTTTTTTTTTGTTTCAAGAGTTAATAATACAGTTGTAGGGGTTTCTTGTTGGAGAAAGGATATGTAATAAATAGTGGTTTCAGATGCACGTCACTGGAAGTTTCGTTTATTTTGCAAGGGAAACTTTGTATCCTTGTGGATTTCTGAGGTGAGGGAACAGCGGCACATGCTGCTGGCTTACCTCACTGAGAAGCTTAAGAGATCTATTCAGAAATGTATCCAGCTGCCTGTGCTGCCATATGAAAGCTAGAGGTGACATGAGGGAGGGACAACTGAAATCACTGTTTCAGTTACAGTTTAGACTGATGTCCTTTTCAATGCTTTGTTTAGTTACAGGCTGGCCAATTTCAAAAGACTTTTCTTGGCTTCCAAAAAAACTGGCAGAAAGGAAGCGATTGTCCAGATGCAATAACTGAACCAAGCATTATGGTACATTTTTTAGGCTCCACGTGCAAAAATGAATCAGCAGCGGTCAAGAAGATTCAGAGCATCAAAGGAGGGCATGGAAGCTGCTGAAGAGAAGCAAAAAATAAGACAAGAAATTCTGGCAAAAGGTAGAACTGTGACCATATCTCAGGTTTTTCAAGAGAGAGTCACCTTGTTTGTTTCGAATGCTTCAGTGAGGTTTAGAAAATGGGTGTCTTGTTTAGTGGATATTTGTCTGTGCATTACTAGGAGGAGGAGGGGATAGCAAGCCTACAGAAGAATGGATCTGTGTTTTCGAAAGTCAAGATAAAACAAAATGTCACTTTTTTCTTCTGCTGTTTCCTGCCTGAAATGGGTTTTTGTTGAGTACTCTTAATTCCTTTAGAAAAAAAAATTTAACAGAAGAGCAGGGATAAATGTAGTAGGGGGAAACTAATCAAAACCCTTATGAGGGAAGTACAAATTTGTAGGGCTTGATGAAAGGAAAGTTGAGTCTTAAAAGCAGGGATCGAAAGAAAATACTACTGCACAGGAATAATGAACTCCAAGCAAGGGTAGTTACTTGACAGTGGAAACTCTAAACTCCGTGAGTAAACAAAGTCAGTGCAACTTTCTAAGAGTGATGGTGACATGACGCGAGTGAAAGGAGTGTGTTCAGCTGAAGCACGCTGCCTGAGCTAGAGCAGTCAGTTCAGGTGAGTGTTTAGGAGAAATGAGTGCTACAGCCCAAGTGAGAGGGCCACTGTGTAACCTAGCTAGAGATTAAAGAGAGAGGACAAAGGCTATTTTAACATTTCTTCCTGTAGCATTTCTAGACTATGAAGACCGTTTATGAAGCTCAGAGATGAGAGAAGTTGATGTAACCCTGTTTGTGAGCCCAAGTGAATAGATAGTGGAAACATAGGGGAGCATATGTAAGAAAATAAATTTTTCCTAAAGTTTTATCTCATTTAGCAAGCTTAGTTTCTTTGAGATTACTTTCACAGTCTTTTGACAGAATAGGTAGTGAAATCTCTTTTCTGAAGTAACAACATTTGTAAATGTACTAACACCTTATTTTAAGTTGGAGATAGTATAATGGTAAGATCTGTTTTAGTTTAGTTGGTGGGTTTTGTTGGGTTTTTTTAACCAAACTAATTTTCAGTAAGTGTTGTTATCAGTAAGTGTTAACATTTTTATCATGCAAAAATGTTTTTAATGTTCCATATTGATTTACTTCTGGTAAATGTTTTTATTGCTCTAGGTGGCATTCTTCCTCCGGAAGAAGTGAAAGAGAGATTTGACAGCAACTGTATTACCCCGGTAAGTAATCTTGCACTTTAACCAGCAATTGCCTGTGTCTGAATGAAGGTTTAATTTATTTTCTTCCGTCACTTTTTAGGGAACAGAGTTTATGGACAATCTTGCTAAATGTCTTCGCTATTACATTGCTGACCGTTTGAACAGCGACCCAGGGTGGAAGAATTTGACAGTAAGTTTCCCAGTTTCATACTTCAGGAAAATTAAGGTGATCTGTTAGGCTGGGTTGAGATATGATTGAAGAGTATAAATTTAACAGATTTGTCTCATCTTCTGACACTGTGCTGTTATTAATAATGGACCAACTTGCACGTTCTGCTGGGAATTCAGAGATACGTTTCATCCTAATAACACAATCTAACAGCACTATTTGTTTTGATTTCATTTAAGAGCAATAAAAAGATTGGATAGAAGCCTCAATTTGCTGTAATGGGAGACAGGGTTTTAGGAATACTTTTTCTTTTGGGGAGAAATGTCAAGATACATGGTATATGTATTCTTTTCACTAGTTCTTTTTAACACCTTTGCTACCTTAGGTAGGCTGCGTTTTTTCCATTATCCTAATGGTGGATGACAATAGATGACAGGCAACGAAAAGAATACATATCAGCTTTCTTTCCTTTCTGCACTTTGAAAATCTCTCCTACTGTTCCTCAACGACTCCGCTCCCACTGAGTTTTGTTTCTGACAGCCCTGTGTTTGCTCTGTACAAGAGGGCAGAGTAGTCAGGCTTCTCAGATGCAGCTGGCTGTTTTATTTTCCATGAGTTGACTGTTAAAGTGGTCTAATTAGAGGGCAGTTGACTCTGCTTAATTCCCTCCATCAGACGTGAGTTTTATAAACGCTAATGCTCATCTGGACATCAGTGTAAGGAAGTGTATAATGTGGTAATGTATCAGTGTATCTACGAGTTTAGAAGATCTAAAGGGAAGTGGGCGTATGTCTGCTTTATCTGTTAGTTCTCTAGTGCGTATTTCAATCGCCCTGGTGATTTATCAGAAACTTCAAATATGCTGGTTAATGACGTGCTAATTTCAATGGTATTTGAATCAGTATGTCAGCTTCATCCTAGAATTAGTAGAGAAAAATGAAGGTCTATTCATTGGTTCCAAACTCTTAAATAATTTCATTTTCAGTCATAATATTTGTTAAAACTGCAAATTAGAATTTCAGGTATTCGTAAGTCAGATTCAGTATTCAGTATATGAACTACATAAGTTGGTTTTCTTTACTGTGGTGGCATAAATTGTTTATGTAATTTAAATGTTTTGCAGGTTATTTTGTCTGATGCTAGTGCTCCTGGTGAAGGTGAACATAAAATCATGGATTACATTCGAAGACAAAGAGGTAAAATTCAAATAAATGTGAATGTGTTGTTTTAAATTAAGGTATGATCAGTAATGATTTATTTTACGTGACTTTGGTTGACTAAATGCAATTTTCTTTTGTGTAGCTCAACCAAACCATGACCCAAACACTCATCATTGTCTGTGTGGGGCTGATGGTGAGTTCTTTTTTGCTAGCAATATGTCCTATTAAGCTTTCTTCTGCTGTTTTGTGATTGACTTGGGCTGTACTCTTTACGCTTTCACTTGTATTTGTGTAAATAATCTAGTATACTTAATTCTAGTGTATTTGTTAGTTTTTGAAAGCTCCGTGTCCTGTATGTGGAAAGATCTAACACAGTTCATAGCTGAAGGGCTAACTTTCACTTAGTTGTACTATCTGGGTAGTTCGTGGGTAAGCACATCTGTGTGTTCACACTTGCTTCAGGTAGAATGTATTTTGCTTATAAAGATTTTCTTTTTTTTTTTTTAATCCTTCATTATATTTTATTATTCTCTTTTGATTCATAGCTGATCTGATTATGCTTGGGTTAGCTACACATGAACCAAACTTCACTATAATTAGGGAAGAGTTTAAACCAAACAAACCCAAGCCATGTGCTCTTTGTAACCAGATGGGTCATGAGGTTAAGGATTGCCAAGGTTTGCCCAGAGAAAAGCAAGGCAAGGTAAGGATTTTGCTATTTCTAGAAATTCTTTTTATCTGTAAGCTAAATGAAGTTTTAATTAGATCCTTAAGTTGTTCTTGCTGTTGGTTTAGGCTGAAACATAATGCAGATTATATTATTGGTATTACCTAGCTTTCCTCTTTTATTAATAAGTAAAAACTGTACTTCTGTAGCACAAATATTATGCCAGACTGAACATCCTCACTTAGGCCGTTTTGTTGTTTGGGTTTTTTCACTGGTGACAGAAAATTATCAGCAACTAACAGACATGCGAAGTAGCAAAATGCATGCTTCGCATAAGAACTTGAGAAACTGTACTTGTATACTTCTTGACTCCTCTGAAAGTAAGCCTTTAAAATGGAGCTGGAGAAACTTTAGGGTGGGTTTGGATGTCATGCAACTCTTTCCTTTTATTTTAGCACGATCAGTTTGCAGACAGTCTTCCTGTTGCTGAACAAGAATTTATCTTCATCCGACTATGTGTTTTGCGGGAGGTATGTTAAAGCAGTTACTGTATCTGCTTTATATAAATAAAATTTTCAAACTCCATACCCAGTGTTTTCTCACATCCTTTTCCTTTTGTGCATGTGTTGCAGTATTTGGAAAGAGAACTCACCATGGCCAGTTTGCCTTTCACTTTTGATTTTGAAAGAAGCGTTGATGACTGGGTCTTTATGTGCTTCTTTGTGGGAAATGACTTTCTTCCTCATCTGCCATCCTTGGAGATTAGGTAGGTGAGAATATATGTTTTCTTTTCCTGCAAGTATACCTACTGTGGCTTTGAATGATAAGAATCTCATGCTTTTGTTTCTTTGTTTTTAGGGAGGGAGCAATTGATCGCTTGGTTAACATATATAAAAATGTGGTGCACAAAACTGGGGTAAATGTTTTTCTTTTCTGTAAAAAATATTGGGTGTTTGCTACAAAAATAGGCTTGTTTTTCAACTATATTATTTTCTGATTTTCAGGGGTACCTCACAGAAAGTGGTTTTGTCAACCTACAGAGGGTCCAGATGATCATGTTAGCTGTTGGAGAAGTTGAAGATAGTATTTTCAAAAAGAGAAAAGATGATGATGTAATTTTTTTTTGTTACATATTTGAAATTTGGCTTTGATCACATACGTTACTGTTAGACTGTGGCGCTCCTTTAACAGAATAAGAAAAAAACCCAAACTATGTATTTTTTTTGGTTATACTCTCTAGTGAGTTCTTACATATTCAAAAAAGAATTGCGTGCTTCCAGTTGATTCTGTTTTCCTGGGCTGGAAGGCCTGTTTTTCTGATTGTTACCCCAAGTAACAACAAAATGAAAACTCTTAATGTGACTTCTGTAACTGCCTGCAGCTTTTTGAACAGCTGCTGTGAAAACTGCAGAAGGAGTTGGCTCATAATTTGCTGGAATCTGTGGAAGTGCAAGCCATGAGCAGGGGTGAAATACTACATTTGAATTCCAAGTGCATTCTTGCCTTGCAGCCTCTTGCCACTTGAAACATGTCCGTAAATTGTTTTTCTTTTGGTCTGTCTCTGCAGTTTGTGGAGTTTTTGCAGACATATTCCAGTTTATTCATTAGGTACAGAGGATAAAACACCTTGTGACTGAAAGAGCAGAATTGCGTTTGCTTTCCAGTCCAAAAATACTATGCTAGTGCTGGCAAAATGTTTTAATTGCCCCAGCTTGCATCTCTCTTGAAGTGAAATGCCAGTTTGATGTTCAAGTTTTCAGTTTCAATGGCCCAAGAATAAGAAATAACTTTCCTTGAACCTCTTCTTTTCCTGTTTCTAGAACTTCAATGTCTCTCCTCCTTTTTTTTTAATCAGTTATTTTTTTGGTGGCTGTTCCAGTGCAGGCAAGGAGCTTGTGTCCTTTGACACTGTTGTCACCTAGAAGTAAGCCTATAGCTAAGCTTAGATAATATAAGCCCTTACCAAAATTGTGGGGCTTTGAATACACAGCTACTTTTTTTCCGCGGTAGGTTTTCAAGGTAGGATAGAAAATTCTATCCCATTTCCATTCAATTTACAGACACAGGAATTGACCTATGTCTGATTCAGAACATTATGTTAAAACCTTATGGCCTTCTGGTTAGTAGAGGATTGTAATAAGATATTTTTACAAGTATGCTTGACTGACTTTGTTTCTCTCTATTCTCTATTTAGGATAACTTTAAAAGACGGCAAAAAGAAAAAAGAAAAAGAATGAAGGTAAATTAGTTCCTTTCTCAAGGCAAAAACTAGCAAGAATTCAAATGTATACTGTAGCTTTCAGTGGATGTGTTGGTTGAAACTGCAGTTGTAATCATGGCATTTTCGGGCCTGTGTGTAAACTATTTTAAAGGGGTTTTTCACAGCTTTTTGTAGACTGGAGCTTTGAAAGACGAAATGGCATATTTAAGGTTTCTTAAAAGGGAAAGGAGGGAGAGTGATGAATGCACTGGGTGTTAGCTCTATGTTGGGTCCTTCAAATCTACACAAATGTGCGCTTTCATGATTATTCAGTGATACTTCAGCATGGTCACTGTACAGGAGTTGCTTTTCCGTGCATTGACGCAAGCCTTCTCAGCAGTTGTATTGCTGAGGGCAGTGGAGTTTCGTATAACAAATTGAATACATATACCAATTTGCATTAAATGGATTTCCTTAATTAGAGGCGTGTTTGTAAAAAAGCGAGGAAGGCTTACCCCAGGCTGTAGTTATCTCACATTCCTCCTGCGCGCCAGTCGGTGTTGCCAAATCTCTCTCAAATGTAATAGAGAAGCATTAGCTGTTGTGGGAATGTTTGCCCTTTCTGACTCATGTAAGCCAAATTCTTTAAAATTCTGTTATTGGAACCATGTTGAGTTTTCCTCACGAAATATTCTGATATTTTAAAAATGGGCTCCTGTATGTTCGTTTCAACATACCTTTGTTCTTGTTTGGGACATCCAGATAAGTGTAGCTTCCAAAACTTTCAGGGCATATAATATCCACGCTCTGAGTACTGTCTGGATCTTGTGCTTATTTTTAAATTACATATTTTCTGACTATCTGTATTGGAGTGGAAGAGGTTATTCACTTGCTTACAAAGAATATGTTCTTCCCAGTAAGGTAGATGGAAGTCTCGCTTACCCAAAAACCTGCCTTTCAGCCCATGTAGAAAGAACACAGGCACAAAGTGCAGGGTTTGTTTGGGTTTTTTAAAAGAGCTTAATAAATTGTAGGAATTGTCTTGCTTGTGTCATCTTATGTCTGGTTGAGATTGTTAAACGTAGCTAATTTAAGCTGAACTGAGTAAGTTGTGCTTGTTTTGTATAACATTAATCTGAAAATTGTGAGAGAGCATCATCACACTGCTGTGGAGATTACACAGCTTTTTCAGTGTACTTGTATATATTTATCTTTTAGAGGGATCAGCCTTCTTTTATTCCTGGCGGACAGTTTTCCCCTCAAGCTCTGGGAAATCGATCTAGTCCTCAGGCAATCAGTAACCCTAGACAAGCCGCCTTTGAGATGAGAATGCATGACAGACAGAATTCTGTAAGTAGATGTTCAAAGGTATTTAATCATAGAAGGGGAAATAATCACATCCTGTGTTACTCTGGACACCTTTTTCTCTACCCCATCAAGCTTTCTTGAAAAGCAGACACAAAAAACTTATTAAAGCCACTTCCTTGAAAAATAACCAATTTTTGTGAGACTACTTGAGTAAAATTGTGTTCTTTATTTTAATGTTTGGTGTGGTACTGCTTGTTAAATAGTTCTGGGAGGGCAAGTGTGAGGTGAATGCATCAGAGTTAAATACGGTGGCTCTTCTCCCCAGGCTTGTTTGGCGCTTGGGGGATCAAACCTCCTTGCGAGTACAGGTTTAGGAACTTCCTCAATAGGTTTGTGAGAGGCACAAACTAAATACCTGAGCTGGAGGTCTTTTAAGGCTCTTTTTGGAGTTTGGGTACACACCCAGGCATAGATATTTGCATTTTGGAAAGGTGTGATTTACATAGCTCCATGTTTGTCAGCTGCTTTTACTTTCCAAAGCATAGCTTTTCACTGGAAAGAGGAGAAACTTAGATGAAGTTTTTGCAAAGATATTAGGAAGTAAGGGGAAAACTGGAAATAAGTTGAGTGCTCTGTTAGAAGTCTTGATTGTTAACTTTAAATAACAATTATGACAAATATTTTCCTTCCGGGCATAAATCTTCATCCAAACAGTGAGCAAATTAAAGGTCCTTTTCATTGTGAATGTGTGTGTTCTGTCTCTTAAGTCTAAATAAATGCAATATGCTTTTTTAAAATATTATTTCTGCTATTCTTCCCTTTTAATCTTGAAACTTCTGCACATGGGTTAAGCAAATGAGTTCCTTTATGGAATGGGAGATGTTTCTTTTAGACTCTATAATACTAAAATAGATAAATTTGAAAGGAGTTTAAAAGATCAGTTGTGAAGAAACTTAAGAGTATTTGTGCCAGTTCTGAACTACAAGCATCATTTTTGCAGCAGCCTGCATATGCATTTTTCACCATTGCTGTAAAATGAAGTTGTAACATAAGCTGTAGGACTAGAGAAAACAGTTATATTCTGAAATTGGAATATATAAAAAATGGCATGTTTTATCAATTGTCTTGTTTATTGCATCTTTTTTCTTTCTCAGATACAATGAATTTTTGCCTGTATGCATCAATGCCTGCCTTTTTAATGTAAAGATGTGTTTGTTTCTTTTACTACTTGACTTAATAGTTTAAGGATTGTGTAGCTTTTGCATTGAGTTTTTGGGGAACTAAAAATAATGCAGGTAATGATCACAGAGCTGTTAATTTTAACTTGAATTTAAAATGCCTAATAAATCCTTCTCTCTTTCCCCCCCCCGCCTTTATCTGTAATAATTCTGACCCTAGACAGCTTCATCATCTCCAAATACCAGCCTCACTTCTGATGGCAGCCCATCCCTGGCAGGAGGAATTAAGCGAAAAGCTGAAGATAGTGACAGTGAACCTGAGCCAGAGGATAATATCAGGTGAAGCCATTTTTTGTAGCACTTTGTTAGCAAATTGCTGAAATAGATGCAGTCTAATTAATGCCATTTAGCTTAGAGCAGCAGTGCCTTCAGATGCTTTTCTATGATCTTTTTATCCACCGGTAATTAATGTGGAGGGTTAGAATATTCAGTAAATTCCAGTGAGATGTGTAAGCCATAGCTGTTAAATCTAAGTATCTAGATTAGTATGCGTGCAGGTTTTCATCCTCCAAGCCCCTACTCCCTTTGAGACCAAGCACTAGATTGGCTAGACATTCACTGCTCAGCTTTGATTATGTGAGCTGAATGCCGCTGTTTAGCAGTTGAATTTTTGAGCTATTTAACCCATAAGATTCAGTTATATTCGCGTGTGCAGCATTATTTATCTTGACTATCGAAATATGTTTTCCTCCATCTTTGATTTGTAGCAGGCCCTGTTTTGTCTATGACTAGTTCTTTACATGTCTTAAGACGGCTGATCCCTAGATGATTAAAGGATAGGAATTTTATGAGAATTAACTGACAGTGAATTACGTTTGAGTCTGCATTTAACAAAGGTTTAAGTCAAGCTATTGCCCTTTTAAGTTGAGGGTGAAGGCCCTTATAATTTTTTGTTAAAGGTTCTGCTCTGATAAATGGACCCAGTAGGCTTTTGTTTTCTGTAGAGTCGGGGGAAAACAATAAGGGTTACTTCATTGTGAAGTACTGATCACTAGTGAGTGACCAGCCCTGTTGTGACATATTTGTGACATCTAGCCTGTCAACTCTTCCATTAGCAGATATTCTAGCTCTCATTCTTATTTTCTTCCCTGTATGTGCGGATAGGAATCGATTGTTGGGGTGTTTTGTTGTTGTTTTTTTTTTTTTAATCAAGCAAGAAGAATTTTTGTCTAAAATCAGGATAAATGTTAATGATGCTTTCCATTTGAATTTTAGCAGAGGGTCAAAAAGAAGCTTTAACAGTTTTATAGCAACTAGTGTGAATGAACTGCAGTGATTTACGAGTAGCAATAGTTTTGACAGGGTTGGTATTGTCAAGCGAAAGGATATGCTGCATTCATGTGCAGTTATTTAAGCTTTTTTGTAGCTCAGAATACTTTTTCAGTTCCTTTTCTGAGTGGAAAATAATTTTACGCTCCTCATTGTAAGTAAAAAAACCTGCATAAATGTACTAGATGTGACAAAGTTGTTTGGGAAAATGTATTTTCTATTTAGAATGACTTTAAAACTAGAACAAATAGTTCTAGTCAGCTGGCAGATTGGTTTTTGTTGTCTTACAGAAAAGGTTTTTGAAATTTATGCAAGCATCTAGCTGCGAGGGAGCTCGTAGGGTCAGATGCTCGTAGACTGCAGATGTTCTTGACTCTGTCCTTCAAGACTTTAGCGCAGGTAGCTCTGTCCTTGCTCACCTGGCTTTCTTAAACTCTTGAAAACACCTTTTGGTTTCTCTACCTTGTCGTCAATTTGAATCTTCTTTGAAGTAGCTCAAGTCAGATTTTAATAAGTATCCCTGTACTGGGCAACTAACTTGAAATAGAAGCAAGGGCAGATGCTTTTTTGCAAAACCGAAAGTTGATGCATCATTTGAAAAAGCATAAATCCACCTTTGCTGTCTTGTAAAGGCTTCGTGTGCTGCATTTATTGCTATGAGATTCTGACAAGTGTAAGTTTGAGTTGACCTTGCAGGTTTCTTGTGTCTTCAGATTCTGCATATAATTTCAAGTGGTCACAGCCTTTGTGGAAAGGGATCTTGCATGATGGTTTTCAGATGGGATAATTGATGCCAATTTTTGAATTGAGAATAAAATTCTATTTTAAAAAAAAAGTCATTATTAAGAGATTATCCGATTTAACTAGTTTCCAAATCAGATTTGTGATATGCTTTACTCTAGTTCGCTTGAATACCAAAATTCCTGTGAACTTTGAGATACGTGTGTGTAAAATGCATACACTATGGTGAATAATAGCTTTAAATTAAAAGAAAACCAAAAAGCTAAAACAACAAAACACCAACAAACCCCAGCAAACCAAACCAAAAAAACCCCACCAAAACAAGCCCAAATAGTTTTGTGAGGGAGGCCAGTTCTGAAGCATGATATCATGATTGAACCAAATGTTAAGTAGAGTTTAATCTTTCCATTACTTAAACTATCCTTTTAGATGGCACTCCCTGAATTGTAGTGGAATTTTCCCCAAGTTTATGTCATATCTGTTAGGACTAACAACTGGCAGTTTTATGTTCACATTAATAGCGCCTTGCTTGTGGCCCAACTGTTCTCTCAAAAATTGATGTGTCAGCTATTGAATGGCAGGGAACACAGCAGATGTAGTGAGCAGATAATAGCTCTGGAGTCCGTAGGCAGTGATTCCTGTTGCTGCCCATGCCCACCACAGCTGTATTCCCCCTGCCTTTTCAGCTTTTAGGGGAGCCTATGGTCTGTGCTTGCTGTTAGTCATCACAGAATATTCTTGCTTGAAATATGGCACGGTATAGCGTATTATTCAATTTTTTCCTAACTTTATACAGTGGAGCTGAGGGACTCAGATGCTTGTCTGTCAAAGATGAGCAAGTGGCCCTGCCCCGCCGACATAAGGGGGAGCTGTGTGAAGTAAGGATAAATGGTGTTTGAGATTTCTGTTCTGTCTCTAGCATCCGTCTTTGGCATGAAAGATTGAAATCCCCTGTGTAAAAGGGAACTCGTCTGATGTGAGTCAGCTAGCATGGGATTCCTGAGTTGTGGATAATTCTGCTGGTAATCATAGCTTGTCTGAACAGCAATACAATATAGAAATTGATCTGCTGCTGCTTTTTTTTATTTTCCTACTTTTGATTTTGAATAGCAGGGAAACTATATCACTTTTCTGCTTGAGAGGGGCATTAAGAACAGAGCAAAGAACTTGATGTGAGAAGATATTCCAGTAAGATAAAGATTTTGGCCTAGGGTAGATTAAACAAAATATGGAAGGGGAAGAGTTTGTTCTTTCTAGTGATTGGAAGAATTAAAGAACAAAGTTCGAATAGCAGTTTTGGTTGTAGATTCATGATAAGAAAGACAAAATTGCCAACTAGGAACAACACTGTTCTGAAAAATCCTGACAGCAGCAGACACTTATTTGAAAATCTGCCCTGCTCCTAACAAGTACTTTGAAGATCTTGAAGAATTTCATCCGGATTTTCTATGATGCCAACCATAATTTTATTCTCTTGCTATTGAGTATCAGGTTTTTATGCTTTCATTTAAATTGTATGAAAATGGGAAATGAAGTAGCAAGTGACTTTGGCTTACATTTTAATTCCGATGTGTAAATGTGCATATATTAACATGTATTGGCATCTATTTGTGTTTGTTATGCAGGTTATGGGAAACTGGTTGGAAACAGCGCTACTATAAAAACAAATTTGATGTTGATGCATCTGATGAGAAATTCCGTCGTAAAGTTGTACAGTCCTATGTGGAAGGGCTTTGCTGGGTTCTCAGATATTATTACCAGGTACTTAAAAATTCGTTCTCTGCAACTTCAGTTTTCTTTTGTGTCTGCACCCTATTTCTTTTCAGGAAATAATTATACATTGCTCATTTTTGAAAAGCAGTGCTTTTCTTTGCTGTTTTGGTTTTTTTTTTTGAAGATATAAAGTAAGTGGGTGCCCATTCTATTTGACACTCAAGATTTGAATGCAGTTTTTGTTTCTCGCATACAGTAACGGCGCTTGTTAGTTTATTAAGGACTGATGCGTATTTTTCCTTTGCAATACGTAGCTATGCATAGTGAAATTGCAGATGACTAAATGAGGGAACAAAGGACAAAGCCGTGAAATGCTAGTAAGAATTTGAGGGGAACAGAGTTGTCAGTCTCCTCTGTAGATTGTAGTGATTTTCTATGAAGTGTATTGTGGTTGAAGTAATCTGTATCTGATTTAAATCTTTTGATAATTGAGATGTCAGATTGGCAAGAGATTAGTTAGACATATTGGGGTTTATTGTACTGATGGTTAATAACTAGCTTCGTGCCCTGCAGACAAAGTAAGTTGTATTTTATGTGTGACCTGGTAACAGAACATGCTCAAGCCGATGAAGTTTATCCATCTCAGCAGGGCTTTGTAGCTTGAACGCAGTGCCACGTTGATAAAGCTGCACACTTTTCATAGGTGGCTCAAACCTGTCCAGCTTGGGGCACAGGCTGTGCAAATACCTCTCACGCCTGCAAAAAACTGCAGTCTTAAAGTTGGTTTATTGTGTACTCCTTCCCCCTCGCCCCCTGCCTTGGAACAAAAAGGAAGAGTGTTCCCGTCCCTCCTGCTTTATTAATTGGTTGACTGTGGGCTCCGACTTGCATATTATGGTGGATGAGAAATCACGAAGTTTAAGGTTTGCAAGTCTGTTGCAGTTGATCTGCAGGAGAGCTGAGCTCTCCACATCCTTGAGTAGCTCCTTTTGCAAAGGACAGGTGTCACCTGGACACCTTTATAGGTGGAAATTCCCATGATCCTGGTCACAATTAAGGTCTGCTGAAAGCAAACTGAGTTCTTGTCAACCATGGCAAGATACATTCCTAGAACTCTGTCTGTACCCATGTGTCTCCAAAGTGTGTAAATGAATCTTCAGATTAGCTGTAGGTGTCTACTTGCCAGAAAACTGTCAGTGTAACCTTCAGTGATGCAGTACAACAAAACCACTGCAAAAGGCAGCCTGGATTTTAAGGGAAACTGAAGGGCTTAGAGGAAGGGAGTATATGGCAAAACTGAGATAACATTTACAAGTCATCCAAAATATTTATATGCTTTTGAAGCTTGCAAAATTAAGTTTGTTTTATTTAAAGAAGTGTGCATGGGGTTTGTGTTCATTGCTTTGTGATTAGTGGCTCTGGCCTTGTGCAGGCATCATCATGTGCTTTTATAACTGTTTAAATTGGGGTTGCATTTGCATGTGCACTGTTGAGGATTTGTGGCTTTCAATGTATGGGAGCTGGAAGACAGCCATGTACCAAACTTAAACCAGTACGGGCAAGTCGCTGTGCAACATTCACTGATTTAGCTTGTAAAAGCAGTTTAGTTGTTGAGATGTATGTAGGTGACTCCTTGTCCTTCAGAGTTTGTAGACGTTCTGGCTGAAGTGACTGATGCTTATAGAAGTGATAGAAGATTACAGTTGCAAAGAAAATAGAGGTTGACAACAACTTCAGACTTCAGGCAGGACCACAGTGCTCTCAAGAAAATTGAGAAGGAGTGCCAATAAGACCTCAAGGAAAAGTGACTGTACAGAAAATATTTTCTGGTTTAGAAATTTTCTAAAGGAAAACTTGATGAAAGTACACAAACATTTAGGGCTTTGTTTTTGCCATTTTGCTTCATATTCAGATTACTCGAAAAGAAGGCAGTCTGTCTCTAGACCTTAGAAAAATCACGTTGCAGACTTACAGTAGTTCAGCAATAGCTTACTTGAATGTGCTGCTGTCTGTACTTGCGTAACAGAGCTATGTGTAGACAAGATACTGTAACCTGTTATGCATGGACAGTCTGTTGTATGGATATGGAGCGGCAATCAAATCACTTTCTGCCCATATTATGGAAGTTAGATTAGGAAGTTGTTGGACTGGGAGACTTTCAAAATAGGTTTGCTTGAGGGTTTTTGTTTGGAGGGTTTTTTTTTCTTTTCACCATAATAAGAATTTCTTCCAGTAACTACTGCTTGTTGTCCATAAAACTTCTGACAGAATACATCAGGTGCTTTTCTATTCTTATAAAAAGCTAATAACGCAGAGCGTGTTCCTCTAGCGGGAACATCTGTTTGGAGAGAAGGGGGAAAAAAAAAAAAAAACAAACCAAAAAAACCCCACAAAAACCAAAAACTCAAAACAAACCCCACCAGTCCACCTGGCTTTTGAAACATACTGAAACTATCTGAAGAATTGCATCTAATAATTATAGTGTCTGTGATTTTTATACCAAAAATATCACTGGAGGAGCCTCATTGACATTTACTTATTCAGAATTGGAGGTCAAAATAGTAGGCTTTTGTTTCAAGTGGTACTGCTAAGAAAAATAGCTGAGGAGGTGAAAACTTGACTTAGACCTTTTCCTTTACAAAGTGCATTGTGTTCTGATGTGTTTTGAGTTTTTCTTCTTTTTGAGGATTATTTTGCCTGTTTCAAGTGAATGCACTTTGTATTTTCCAATATCCAAGACAGAAGAATAAGAGGGAGAAAAGCAAAATGTTACTCAGAGTGTGTATTAGTGCTTGCTGAACAGAAAAGTAACAGTTAAAACCAGAATACATTTAAACCTGCAACAAATATCGTTCACATTTTCACACCTTGTAGAGTGTATCGTATTAGGGTTCTCTAGTCCCACATATTCCTGAGTTAGCAGTGGGATTTTGCATTGAAAAAACAGTAGTGCAAACTGTGCTGCCAGAAAAATGCTAGTTCTGCTCCTATTGAGAACTCTGTAATGGCTTTCTGACTGACACGAGCCTGCTGTTTGTATAATTACGGAGAACTTGGGAATTCCTTCTGTGTCGTCCATGTGCATTTACCTGTTGGAGATGCGGTAGCAACTCTGCACAAGTTGAAAATGTGTCCAGTTGTTACAGGCTCCTCAGCTTAGCCCCAGGGACTGGTTAACTGTATGAATAGACTGTGATTTCCTACTCTTTGCGAGAAATTTTTGTGCTTGGTTTCACTGGACTTTGTGTACATGCTGGTGTGTGTTTTCTTGAGGGGGAGGAAAAAGTCATGAGGTACATTACAGTGTTCCGAAGCTAAGGTTAAGATTCTGCTGTAAGGTCTTTTTTGTCGTGCTGGTGCTAGGTCCTGTCTCTTTGGCTGTCTCCCTTAGTGACTCAAACCTAGCACATAGCAAGAGTACTTTGGCATAGAAGTCTATCTGCTGTTCTGTGCTGCCGAGGAAATGCCCGAGGTCTCCATTCACTGCCAGTGAACTCACTCGCTCTAGTCTGGCAATGAAAAGTTAAGCCCCAACCTGAAGTCCAGAGTACCTTTAGAGGCAAGAGCTCTTTCTTTTCTAATCATGGGGACTCCTCTTTCTCCTGGTTGATGCTGGGCTAAATTTTGTCAGCTTTAGTGACTGGGCTACATGATTTTTTTTTTTTTTTCTTTTACTCTTTTGATTTGTCTGATTTTTGTTTCTTTGTCCTAGGGCTGTGCATCCTGGAACTGGTATTACCCTTTTCACTATGCTCCGTTTGCTTCTGACTTTGAGGGTATAGCAGACATGCCTTCGGATTTTGAGAAGGGCTCAAAACCGGTAGGGCACCTTTATTTATTTACTTATTTGTTTATGATTTAACAGTTCATTAGAAGTGTCCTACATCTGCTTGTTTAATTTCAACAGTTTAAGCCTCTTGAACAACTTATGGGAGTATTTCCAGCTGCAAGTGGAAATTTTCTGCCACCAACGTGGAGGAAGCTCATGACAGATCCGGTAAGAATCCTTGTTGTATTCCTCTCTGTAAGATTATGTCAGCTTGCAGTTGTGTGAGCATGACTTGCTGCTTACTTCAGGCAGAAAAATAACAGAGACTGGGAGGGAACATTTTTGGTAGATTGCAGAGATTCTTCAAAGACCTTTAAAAGTGATTCTTTTGAATTCAGATGTTTGTGAGAAAAAATTGTTTCCTGGCTCTTACACTTTAGTAAGATTGTTTATTTTCTTATAGAAACCTTGCAGAACTTAACTGGGGAGTAGATACCTTAACCCAGTTATCTCAAATTATTCTGCCCTACTTAACTACTTGTTTTGATACTTGAAGTAATGAAAGTGCCCTACCACACTTTGTGTTTAAGTGGCATTTAATGAAAGCTGTTTCTATTACTCAAAGTTCTTTGCATCCTCCTTAGCTTTGTGTTTACTTGCCCTCTGTGAAGTACAGTACTACGTGGCATTCTGAATCAATTTTGTAATTGACTTTAATGCGTTTTTTTAATTATTATTACTTTATTTTCTCTAATGCAGGAATCAAGCATAATTGACTTCTACCCGGAAGATTTTGCAATTGATTTAAATGGGAAGAAATATGCTTGGCAAGGTGAAATTTCAACTTTCTTTTTTTTTTTTTTTGAGTTATAGTATACTGACCTTAGTCTTAAGAATCTATGTAAAAATAGGAAGAAAATTGAAAATTATCTTAGTGAGATAGTGACGCACCAAGTCACAGAGGTAACTTGTGTTACTTGGTGTGGGGGAGGAGTATTTTGCAGCAGGTATATTTTTGAAAAGAAATTAGTATGAAGAACAAATTATGGGTCAGTAACTGATTTAGGATTCGCAGTGATTATTAGTAATTTCAGCAGTCATTCTAGACTTGCTAATTTGTCCTGAACTAGATTAATCATTTTTCTAGTTTTATCAGCCTTACTGTGTAATTGTCTTCTGTCTCCTTTGCATTTAATTAATGGATCTTGTTCTGTTCAATCAGTGGCTCATTAGTACCTTGGGAAAAATGCTTTGGGGGATATAGAAATATTTGGATGCATACAAAGAATGAAAAAACAGTTACAGTATTTAATGCAGCTTTCTCTTTCTTTAGAGAATATTAATTTTAAAGGTCTGTCAAATGTTGTGGTTGTTACACTATCCAGATGATAATGTAACATCTCAACTATAGGTATAAAGAATTATTAGGGCACAAAAATTCCATCTGAACATAAGAAGACATGTTTTTACTCTGAGCATGGTCAGACACTGGAACATGTTGCCCAGAGAGGTTGTGGAGTCTCTGTCCTTGGAGATACTCCAAACGCAACCTGAGTAGCCTGTGACCATGCTGGAGCAGAGGGGTGGACTAGATGATCACCAGAGGTTCCTGCTGGTATCAGTGGTTCTGTGATTCTTCTCCCAAGGCAAGGTGTTCTGAAATAGGCACAGGTAGACACGCAGGTATATTACTCGGGGCAGTGTTCCAAAATCAAAGAGAATATTCCTAGGTGTTAGGAGCTGTGTTGCAGAGCAGGTTGTCCCTCTGTAACTTGAAGCCCTTTCTTATCCCTGTAGTAATTCTGGCAACTTTCCTTAGTCCTTTTGTCCAGTTATCAAATCTACAGTCTAAAGCAGTAATGTTTTAAGTAGGTCCCACATGCTTTCAGCAGCCTGTAACGTTACTTTTGATTGTTTTAATGCTTAATTGCATTACAAGCTCTTTGTTTTGGATTGTCATCTGGAATTCTCTGCTTAAGAGGCAGTTGTGAAACAAGAAATATTTTCCAAGCTGGAAGTACAGTCTCTGTTAAAAAGCATCTAGTGTACCTTGTCCTTTTAATGAAATGTTTGAAGATCTTCCTTTTAGAGATGTGATTATGGTTCTGAAAGCTCAGCATTGACCCTTTTTGCAGTCTCCTGGGTTATGAACACTTCCTGTTTTCTTGTCATTCCACCAGTATGTTGTGAAGGTGAAAATAAATTGTTTGTTTTCCAGGGTAGGCTTATCACTATTTCCCTTCACAAGGAGTCATATTCCAGCTGAAACTTGAACATGGCTGAGGTCTGGTGCTGTCTTTGGCAAGGCAGTAGTCAGTGTGCGTGAAGATGGTCCTCATGCTTCATAAGCAGGGACAGTGCACATTTCTTATTTGGTGACATTGGCAAGAGCAGACTGTACAGCTCTGCTCCTCGTTATCTAACAGTAGCCTAAATAAAATTCTGGTTCACTTAAACTTCTGACATATTGAACTATTTATGGTTCGTTCCAAACTGGTTTTGTTAGGAGATGATATGAGCTTCTGGTGTAATTACAGTTCAGGTGGAGTTTTAGGTTGTCCCCTGTCCTTTCAGCTTCAGGACAATAGTATTTGTTTTAACAAAGCCACATAAAGATCTAGCTTCTGAAGCAAAAGTGTATCAGGCAGACCAAGCTTTAGATCGGGAATCTTAAGTCTGTGGAAGTCCGAAGTCTGCCAATATTGTACCTTAGAGTGACGACAGACATGTCTAAGATTTGCCCACCAGCAGAACTGGTACAAGCACAAATATGAAATTATGAATATCAGTTTGGTAGAAAGCCTTTGCTGTCATCTGGATTAGAAGTTCTAGTGTACCCGGTGAGGGAAATAAAATAAAAACTAAAGTAATTATTCAAGATTCCAACCGATAATAACGGTGACAGAAGTAAATCTTTGATGAATTACCATAGTAAATTTCTTAGTGCTTTTTTTGATTTTATAATAGAAGAAAACATATACTGAAGTAAACCAGGGAAGGCTGTTCTCCAGCGTCATCCAATACGATTGAATGGGCTCTGAGATGTGCTGCTTCATGAGGGATTTTGATCCTGAGAGGAGCCTCCACGTTATCTCAGAGTAAAATTAATAGCTGGTATGAATAGTCCCTAATGGATAATATCTGTATCACCTTGTCACTGAACTTGGAGTGATTTCTTCCATTGTTGTCTTTTAATAAATTAATTTGAATAAAGTAGCATTGAGTTCTGTCTGGGGAGTATCTGTAGCAAATGAGACAAATAATGACTGTCTTACTGAGCTCATCTTGTTCCTAAATGAGGCAGGTGTGGGTAGAGGTTATTTCTTCCCAGTGCCTCTCCAGGACTGGGGAGGAGGAGGATGAGGAAGGGGTGCTTGGAGATAAGCTTTCTTTTTCACCTGCACTACCACTGAATTATTTTTCTCCAAACAGCCTGCAGGGTCACAACCTCTAAAAATGTAGGGTTTTCTTTCCCGTGACTGATGCAACAGTTGTTTCTTGGGTAAAGAATCACTTTCCATGCTAGTGTCTTTCCCACCC